GTGTGACATAGAGCGCGCTCCTGCGCGAGCTTGTAACGACGGGACTAACGTGCACCATCACGGACGGCGCTAGTGCAGGGGCGGAGGAATGATAGTGTGACTTTTCATCGGGCAAGACGGTTCCTTTAAGGACAGGACTGTTCACCTAGCGTATAGGACACTAGGCGAATCGGGCGTATGAGTATGCGGCCTGATCACCGGGGGAGCCGGGGCCCTTTTGACGCAGTTGGGACAGCGGGGAACAGCTTCGCGCGCAGAGTGGACAACGACACGGGCAACCGAATATGTTTTGGGATACAGGGCACCCAGCACAGCCGTGACACTTGTGAAGAGAACCATCGAGCACAATCGGGACATATGCATTGGGCGGAGTCAGGGTACGGGCAGCCTTCTACACCGGAACCACGCAAGGCGGCATCTTTGGGCACGCCCTCGAGTCACAATCGGTTTCTCTGATCGGCGTTCAGTTCGTCAGGTGGGGTAGGCTCCTTAAGCGCGGATCGGGACATCAAGCCGAACCGGGCTTCCGGTGCAGATCGGGACGCAGGACTGAGTCAGGGCCGTGAAGGGGCACTCTCCGAGCCAGGCCCGACGAAGGGGGCATTTCACCGAAGAGGCTTTTACCGGGGACACTCCTCCGAAAGGGGCGTTTTACCGGGAGCACTTTGCCGAAGAGGTATTTTACCGGGAGCACCCACCGAAGTGGCACTTGTCAGAGGGGTATTCTACCGGGGGGGCACTTACCGGAGAGGTACTTTATCGAAGGGGCACTTTACTGAAGAGACACATTACCGAAGGGGTATTTTGCGCAAGGGCACTTTACCGAGCAGGCACTTTTACCAAGCGGATACTTCACCAAGCGGACACTTTTATCGAGCGGGCGCTCTACCGAAGGAGCACTTCGCCGGAAGGGCATATTACCGAAGGGACACTATCCCGAAGGTGTACTTTTTGTGAAGCGGTCCTTTCGAAGAGCCACGACCGAAGGGGGCTTCTCGAGCGGGTACTTTCGTGAAGCAGGCTTTCCGAAGGGGTATTTTCGCGAAGCGGGCTTTCCGAAGGGAAACTTTCGCGAA